AAAACAATACCGCGTTGTCTACACTGACTCTCTTGCGCAAAAGCATTTGCGCAAGAGGGCTTTTGCCTGAATGGAAGCAGCATAGTATTTCTGCAAGAACACTGACAATCTTACATGAGATCGTCAGTGTTCTTGTGGAAATTCAAGCGGCAGCTGCTTTTGTGGAAAAACTGGCCAGTCTAGACACAGCTGTGGTGAAATTGCGGGTATTTTGGGTGACTCCATTTCCCCATCATCAAGGACATGGTTTGTAGACCCCACCCCCTTTCCCCCCCCCACACACATCCCTACTGGTTTTCTCTGATATTTGTTCACTGTGGAACTCCTTGCCAGAAGATGTTGTGAAGACCAGGACTTTAGCAGGGTTCCAAAAAGAGCTAGATAGATTCATGGAGGTTAGGTCCATCAATGGCTTTAGCCAGGATGGGTAGGAATGGTGGCCCTAGCCTCTGTTTGTCAGAAGCTGGGAATGGGTGACAGGATGAATCAAACAATCTCAGAGGCATCTCTGTGTTAGTCTGTAACTTTAAAAACAATGACTAGTCCTGTGGCACCTTAGAAACTAACAAATACATAGATTGTATCATGAGCTTTCCTGGGCAAAACCCATTGCCTCCGATGAACTGGAGCGTCTGATGATTGCCTGTTGTGTTCACTCCCTCTGGGGCACCTGGCATTGGCCACTGTGGGCAGACAGGACACTGGATTGGATGGACCTTTGGTCTGACCCAGTCTGGCTGTTCCATGTGCCTACTGAGCAACCTCATAGACTCATAGAACACTAGAACTGGAAGGGACCTCGAGAGGTCATTTGAGGACTTCAGTATCTGAGATATAGGTGAGAGGATTACTCCAGGAGTGGGTGGGTGAGATTCTGTGGCCTGCATTGTGCAGGGGGTCAGACTAGATGATCAGAATGGTCCCTTCTGACCTTAAAGTCTATGGCTACGTCTACACTGGCATGATTTTCCAGAAATGCTTAAAACGGAACAGTTTTCTGTTATAAGTATTTCTGGAAAAAGAGCATCTACATTGGCAGGATGCTTTTCCAGAAAAGCACTTTTTCCGAAAAAGCGTCCGTGGCCAATGTAGACGCGCTTTTCCACAAAAAAGCCCCGATCGTCATTTTTGTGATCGGGGCTTTTTTGCGGAAAATACTACTGGGCTGTCTACACTGGCCCTTTTCCAGAACAGTTTTCCGGAAAAAGGACTTTTGCCCGAACGGGAGCAGCATAGTGTTTCCGGAAAAGTGGCTGATTTCTTACAGTGGATAGTCAGTGCTTTTCCGGAAATTCAAGGGGCCAGTGTAGACAGCTGGCAAGTTATTCCAGAAAAGCGGCTGCTTTTCTTGGAGAA